TGTGACAATATGAATACTAGGTATTGTGACAATATCAATACTAGGTATTGTGACAATATCAATACTATGTATTGTAAGAATATCAATACTAGGTATTGTAAATATATCAATACTAGGTATTGTAACAACATCTATACTAGGTATTGTGACAATATCAATTTTAGGTATTGTGATAATATCTATACTAGGTATTGTGACAATATCAATACTAGGTATTGTAACAATATCTATACTAGGTATTGTGACAATATAAATACTGGGTATTGTGACAATATAAATACTAGGTATTGCGACAATATCAATACTAGGTATTGTGACAATATCAATACTGAGTATTGTGACAATATCAATACTAGGTATTTATCCGTGCATCGTAATAGAATGTCACACAAGGTCGAGCTTAATATTAGATTTCGAAAGCCGTTTAAAAATTGCTCAAGCTCTCTCGCTACTACTGTTATTGTGGATGCTTCAGGTGCGTCTTAATGACACCAGATCCTGACAAGAACTGACTGGAGAGTCTTCCCGGAGGGGGCTTTCGTGAGCTAAATTTCAAGCTAGAATCTAAAAAAGTTAACATCTCGAAAAAATTTATGTCCTTATCAGGGCCGGTGCGCACTATTCTCAAACATCCCGATTGCTATCTTATCAACATTTTCGTTTTTTCTACCTACATTTATATACGTTACAAATTAAACTAAGCACAACTATTGAATGAGGAATTTTTTGGCGGAGTTTGACGTCATGCCGAGCTTTTTCTCCCCCTCCAAATCCATAAATTTGTTTTGCTCAAGCTAAGTCTCGAAAAAAAACCCTGTATAAAATTCACTATTGTTTATCCATAATGTGGAATATGTTAAAATTATTGATCTTTTTAACCTCAAGCTGATGTTAAAAATTGCCTCCAAAACATTGTTAATTTATTTAAAATGGAATAATCTATTATGACGTCTCTAATTTGTATTTAGATACATTATATTTATTTTCAGTATTTCTAGTACAATTGTTCACCTATATTGCATGTGATCCATTAGTGTACCTAATTAGGTTAGAATAAAATTCATATTTTAGATGAATACTACCTCATAAATATTGAGATGTAGTAGAGTGGGCGGAGGCTGTATCATAGATTTCGGGGACGTATCATAAATTGGGGGGGGGGCATATCATAGATTCAATGTGTACCCACCAGATCCTTGGAGCAGCCCTGGTCCTCAGAAGAAAAAAAAGAGAGTTCGACGTTGTACCCGTGTTATTATTGTCATAAGCGTCCAATAAAATAAGTCGACATTATGAGTGCTTGGAATTCAGATAGATAAAATGAAATGTGACCCCAACTGGTGAATATTTTCAAATGTATGATTTAAAAAACATAATTTAAATCCATGATTTATACTCTTACAATCCACGGCCTTTTTTTTTACCTAAATGAGCTTAAAATCCTGTTGTGGGCCGGGTTTTCAGCTAGTGGCTTCAAATTGGAAGTTGCTTTGAACGAGACAAGTTTATTTATGTTTTGTTTTGTTTTTTAATCATTTCACCCCAAGCAAGCGACACAGCCACTAAGATGAAAGGGGTTACTGAGTGCGAAAAGAATCAGAGAAAAACGTTACTCAGGAGAAAGGACAATAAAAAGAGACAGAGGATCACAACTGACGTTGCATTTAAATTTTTGAAGATCTTAGTTGACAGGAAAGTAAGAAGTCTTCTCCAAAATATACAAGTCTATATATGCATGCACGATTGCATTCAATTCTTCTTCTATGTGCTGCGTCTCTTCAGGACGTTGTCGATCATGACTCTTCACAATTTCCTGTCCTTTGTAGGCCTTAATAAATTTTATCTATTGGTTATCTCTCCTAAACCTTGTTCCACCATCCATTTATTCAAGCTCGTTCGGTTGGTTATGTCTCGTTTTCCTCACTTCCTATTATCTCCAGTCTGTCCTATGAGTATCTAATTTTCCATACCCTCTTTCCTCATTATGTGTCCTAGAACTGTCTCTTCCTGATGTTAAGTATGAGCGTCCATTTTGTTTCCATTTTCTCTAAAAAATCGTCATTGCCCACATGCTTGGTTCATGGAATTCTCCGTGGTATTATCCGCATCCTTCTGTAGAACCGCATTTCCGTTCGCTATTTACCTTGTTCTGACTATCGTCCTCATCTTTGTTGCCATATTCATCACAACGTTTCGGTCGTTGTACGCTCTGGCCTTCTTCAGGTGGTTGGGATGTCGAACTGACCCCTTTATTTCGCTCGCTGGGGTAGACTGTTCAAGTTCCACGTGCCATGTCTAATGGGTGTCAGTTATCTGTTATCGCCCCTCTTCAAGTTTTCCACCTCCTTAACCAGGTATTGAACTCACACTCTTTGGGTCCTGTCTCTGGATGTAACTAACGACTTTATCCACTGGGCCATGTGTCCTTTTTGAAAATTCTGATGAGGTTAGGGATGAAGAGCCAAAAGCACATGAGACTAGAAATAAAGAGCCACCAGCTACATCATACTAGTGATAAAGAGACACCAACTCATCAGACTAGTGATAAAATTCCACAACCGCATCAGTCTAATGATAAAGTGCCACGAGTAGTAGTTCAACAACGGGCAGAAAGCCGATCCGTATTTACGATAATAAAGGTTAAAAAAAAATAAAAAACTGATTCAGCAATTATTTGTTTTCGTTGTTTACATTAATATTATCGTTATATGATATTGGTTACTTACTTTTATTTTTTACGTTTGAGTTTAGAAAAAAATATGTGTGAATGAAAACGCCCTATAAAACATTATGATTTTTTACAGAAAAATTTGACAAAAAAGTATTAATTTATCCTTAAACCAGAATATAAAAAATATATACTATGATATTTACCACGTGATCTACGATGCAAATCAAATAAGAAAGATATCGTATATAATTTTGTTTTCGCGCTGGGGTTCCTTGAGGCATCTAATTTATTTTAAGTGTTACGTAGGGGTAAAAAGGTTAAGAAACGCTGCTCTAGACTATCCTTTGAAGTTTCCGTAGCAAATAGGTTTTTACGAAGTAGAGTTACAAGGTATTCAGAGTTGTGCTTCTCCTAGACTGGTTACCAAACATGGTTATAGAGACCAGTCTATCATGTTATTAACCACGAGAAGAAATTGGTTCGTACCTTTTCAAAGTTATATGAGCATGCCTCAGCTGGAATTTTAACTCCACACACGAATCCCACTTTCGGCGCCTCTAAACGCTACGCTACACGCAAATCCATAAATGATGTTACAGAAAAAAGGTTAAAAGTACCGGCGTTGAACTCACAGAACGGGTGCAATGTTTATTTTAATTTCAAATATTTTATTTTCAGTTTATAGACAACCAACCTTTGGTTATTTATCTCTCATCGGTTTTCCTTAGCTCTCTGTGGTAATTAGTGTTACCCTACCCACCACGCGAGTACGAAACCCTGGCTTTCACTTGGGGTCGAAGACATCTGGCAAATACGGAACTATTTTAGTTACACGTTTAAAATATTGCTCACTATTACTGTGAACCTTATGCTTACCATCTAACTACTTTTCAGTCCCTCATCATTTCTTCCCCACTTTTTCTCTTCATCGCTTTCCTTTTTTGTTTGTTTCTTTCTTCTTGCTTTTATCCTGATGTTTATCATTTCCTTTCTTTCTTTCTTTCTTTCTTTTGATCGCTCTTCTTTTCTTTCTTTTCTTCTTGTCATTCGCCTCGTTCTTTGATTATTTGTTTTTTCTTTCTTATTTGCTTTCTTTCTTTCTTTTCTTTTTGACGTTAATCACTTTACTTTTTCTTTCTTTCTTTTTTTGATCAGTATTTTTCTTTCTTTTTTATTTGTTTCTTTTGATCGATCATGTTTTTTTCACTTCATTGTTTCCTTTCTCTTTCTTTCTTTTATTCTCGTATTCATCTGTTTATTTTTCTTTCTTTCTTCTTGCTTTTCTTCTAGGGTTTATCGTTTCCTTTCTTTCCTTCTTTTGATCGCTCTTCCTTTTTTTTTCTTTTTCTTTCTTTTCTTCTCGTATTCGTCTGTTTTTTTCTTTCTTTCTTATTACTTTTCTTCTAGGGTTTATTGTTTTCTTTCTTTCCTTCTTTTGATCGCTCTTTTTTTTCTTTTCGCTTTGTCAGTCGTCTCTTTCTTTGATTATTTCTTTCTTTCTTGCTTTCTTTCTTTTCTCTTTGTTGTTCATCTGTTGTTTTTTTCTTTGTTTCTCTTGATCGTTCTTCTTTTCTTTCTTTCTTGTTCATCACTTTCGTTCTCACATTCTTTCTTTCTTTTTTGTTTCTTTTTACTCACTTTTGTTCTCCTGGTTTTTGTTTTGTTTTGTTCTTTCTTTCTTTCTTTCTTTCTTTCTTTCTTTCTTTCTTTCTTTTTATTCATCCCATCCTTTTTCGTTTTCTCTTTCCTCCCACATTTCTTTTTTCTCCTTCAATTTCTTTGTATTCTTCCTTTTTAGTTCTTTCTTTTCCTCTTCATTTCTTATTTATTCTGGTTCTATCATTTTCTCTGATTCTTTTCATCTCCTCCCCCTCTCACTGACTCCACACACATACACACACTCTCTCACTCTCTCGCTCCCCCACCCTTTGTTGCAAAGTTATCTCTTCGCCATTCCTTATTTCTGCTTCCAAGAAGTCTTTGACACCAAATTGATCTTGATATTTATCCGGCCTCGTCTCTTTACATTCCTGTTGTTCCACTCAATTTTAAAACTTCCCAAACTTCAATCTGTTTTATACATTAACTTTATATTCTTCAAACGTTTATTTAACCCTTTTAAAATGGGGACAAAACCATTTTCGCCCCACTTTTAATTTTATCAAATAAATAAATGAATACTTTGGAAGGTTATCTTACCACCGCCTTACCTGCCGCCACGCTTGAATGTATGTCTCCTCTTAACGACAATCAGTCTACTTATCACAGCTACGTATTCTTTTGAAATTAACATTTACAGCCGCTTAAATTAAACCGAAGTTGAATGTAGATGTGGTCTGTTTCTTGTTTCTTTCTATCACTCTTTTTCTTCTTTTCACGTCTCCCACCATTTCCTTATCTTTCTTTGCCACACTGTTATTTTAATATTTCTTTCTTTCTTTCTTTCTTTCTTTCTTTCTTTCTTTCTTTCTTTCTTTCTCATTTTATCCTTGTTATTTCTTTTTGTTCTTTTCTTTTATTTCTTTCTTTTCAATTTTCTGAAGTCTTCTTTTTTCTTTCTTTCTTTATTTACCTTTTTCTTCCTTTCTTTTCAATTTTCTTAAGTCTTCTTTCTTTTCTTTCTTATTTACCCTTTCTCTTTCTTAAGTCTTTTTTCACTCTTTCTTTCTAAATTTATTTAATATGACATTTCTTTTCTTCATTTATCTTTCCTTCATTTATCTTACTTTCTTTTTTTTCTTTCTTTCATTTATCTCCCCTTCTTTTTTCTTTTCTTTATTTATCTTCCTTTCTTTCCTTCATTTATCTTACTTTCTTTTTTTCTTTTTTTCATTTATCTCCCCTTCTTTTTTCTTTTATTCATTTATTTTCCTTTCTTTCCTCCATTTATCTTACTTTCTTTTTTTCTTTCTTTTATTTATCTCCCCTTCTTTTCTTCTACTAAATTTTGAATTTCATTTATATATTCATTCTTTCTTTCTTTTTATATCTTCCGTGTATTTTATTCATTCCAACTGTTCTATTTCCTTTACTCATTCATTCATTTTTTTTACTATTTTTCTTTTCAGTTTCATTCGCGCTTTTTTATTTCTACTAACATGTTATTCCCATTTCATTCATCTCCCTTATTTCAGTCATGTTTTCCACTTTATCTTCATTTAATTCTTTCATTCATTCGTTCACTTGTCCATTATTCTTTTTCTGCTTTATTTACTAGCAGCCATACCCAGCTGATCGATCAGAAAAAAAGCGTTCAATTAGAATGGAGCAAAAACAGCATCATGTTTAGATGTAACAGAGTTAATCTTCTTCAATGACTTTAAAGTACTTTCATTAAAATCATTTTGAATTAATGCAGTTACTGATATAACAGAAATAGTCTGTATTTATTTAATCGAAGTTAGCCGAGGACATGAAGGGGTAAAACGGGCAACATGAAGTCCCACTTCAGACCACAATTATTTTAGAGTTTTTGAAATTCAATTTGTCAGTATGCTGCCTGAGATGTAAAAGAGGATATATTAAAAAAAACAAAACAATTATTAAGTTTGATGAGAATTGGTTGAAAGATCATGAAAAATAAGAAAAAAAACCCAAAAAAAACACAGTGAAAATCACCATTTACGCGGGTTTTCATTGGTTGACTCAATTATAAAGTTAAATGACTGTTAAACAATCAACTTATTGTTGGGTATAATTGAATGAATTTTGTATTAGATTGCATGAAATTATTTTCGTTTTTCGCTGTTTTTCCCTAAACGCAGTGGCGTAGGAATAAAAAAAATGAGGTAATATTGAGCTCGTTATGATGTAAGTAACCTACATACCAAGTTTGAATGAAATCGGAGGAAAAAAGTTGAATTTATCGATTTTGATCGGCTTTATCGATTATTGATTTTTTAAATTATCGATTTTTACGCTAAGAATCTACCTCTTACATTGTACAATGTATGTGCCAAGTTTGGTCAAAATCGGTTGGATGGATCTCAAGTGAAAAGGTAACACAGAGACAGACAGACACACAGACATCCTCTGTTTTGTATATAGATTATTTATTTTCTCTATTTACCTTTATTAACGTTTCATTATTTATTTCTTTTATACTTTTTATATATTTTTAAATTATATACTTACTTTTATTTCTATTTAATTTAGTCATTCGTATTATTTAATCTGTTTTTCATTTACGTTTCCCTCATTCATTTCCTCTTTCTTATTTCTATCTAAAATTTCTTTCTTTCCCCATTCCCTCTTATTCTCATTTTCTACTTCCTTTTTTCTTTCTTCTCGCTTTTTTTACTTTCTTTTACCTCCATTTTTCTCTTATTCACCCTCACTAAATTTAATGTTTCTTTTTTATTCTTTTCGCTTCTTTTTTTTCTTTTCTTTTTCTTTCTTTGATCGTTCTTCTTTTTGCTTGTTCGTTTTTTTCTTTCTTTCACCTCCATTTTTTCTTCTTTTTGATTGTTAGTTTGTTTTTTCACCTCCAATTTTCTCTTATTCGCGCTTTTTAAATTTTCTTTATTCTCCCTTTTTTCTTTCTATTTTCTTTCTTTCCATTTTTTCTTTCTTTCTCTGTTCTTTTTCTTTCTTTTTGTTCTTTCATTCTTTCTATTTTTCTTTCTTTCTATTTTCTTTCTTTCTTTCCATTTTTTCTTTCTGTTTTTTCTTTCTCTCTTTCTGTTTGTCTTTCTCTCTTTCTTTCTATTCTTTCTATTCTCTTTCTTTCTTTTCTTTTTGTTCTCTCTTTCTTTCTTTCTTTCTTAATGTTTCCCCTTTCTTTCTTTTTATTTTTCTTTCTTTCTGTTCTTTCTTTCTTTCTTTTCGTTTTGCTCGCATTTTTCTCTCGTCGTTATCTTTTATAATTGATCTCTTTTTTCTTCTTTCTTTACCTCTTCTAAAAATGAAGCCCATTTTTCATTCATTTCGTATTATTTCCCAGTTTTTCCTTTTTTTATTGTTATTTTTTTATTCTTTGCCTTTTTTAAATTTTTCATTTTGTTATTTCCACATTTTTCTTGATTCTCATTGCCCCTATTTTTTTTTAATATTCACCCATTTTCCCGTTAAAATTAATTTTAGTACGTTTTTTAAATCCAACTAAAACCATACGTCAAACAGAATTACGCCCACGCATTTTTTTTTTTCATTTTTTTTCCCAGCCCGTGCTCCATAAGTACTTTATTTATTTAGAGCCTGATAGAGTGACCCACACTAAAAAGCAGCTGGGGATTAAATTTTTGTTTTTTACTAACATTGAAGAGTTGGAAGTATGTGAAACTGGATAATGAAAAAAATTTCCGAATTTGAACTTTTGAACTTCTCACACGAATAATTTTAGTTCATTCAGTTGGCGTCCAAACTGACGCCAACAACACAAAGCAATGGCTTCGGAACATTGTCTGTCTGTCTATCAAGCTATAGACTAATATATCTGCGTGCATTTAACCGTATAGAAGTTTAAATAAATTATCTTTTAAAATATTTAGTTCTACTCCATTAAAGAGAGAGGCAAACAATTGTTGATATGATTTTACTGTTTATCTCATTCGGTTTTATTCAAAAGTTTGCTTTTAAATCGTTTATGGTTAAAAAAAAATAATTATATATTATTTTTCAAAAGTTACTTTTATCATGAACCTTTCTTTGTTGTCTTTATTTACGAAATTTAGCATAGTTTGATATAAGTTACCTCCACTAGTTCGCTGAAAAAAAAGCACACAATGATGAAAACATGCCCCAATCAAAACTGTTTTATCGTCAAAATTTTTTGATTATATAATTATATTTTTAATCCCTTTTGGAACGGTCGAAATTTTGGTTAAAAATCTTGTTTTTCTTGCGTCAGTGGATGGACTATAAATCAGCGAATCCAAGTAAAAATGTCACAGGTAAAAGTCACAAGAATTAAAAAAAAAAAAAACAAAACAAAAAAAAAAAAACAGAATAATACAGGACAAGGTTAGAACACATCGGACAAAATCTCAGCATCTTATCCAAAAGTGCTAATTTCACAAACTATATAAATTGAAAATTCAAGAAACTTTTAATTCAAATTTAAAATTGACACATCATAGCAGCAGAAATTAGCCTCGTGTTCACCGAGATAAAATAAAACTTTACAGAAAATAAAATGTACACAAAATAACAGGAAAAGCATGGTAAATTACTAAATTGTATGTTAATTTCATACAATTTATTTATATTCTTTGCGTGTATTGGTGTGTGTATCTTTTAGGTCACAGTTGTTTTATGGTACATGTGATAAAAGGGAGAAATTACTCCGTGTTATCATACGCGATATCAGAGAGAGAAGTCGGACACGTGTTGCCCGTACCAAGGTTCGTCGTGAAGGGATTGAATTTAACGTCTTTTGGCGGGATGTCCGTATTTCCGGAAGGACACTTTTTGTTGCATGCTGGGAGTATTTTTATTCTTATTAAATTTCTATTTAATTTATTTTACGCGACATTTTATTATTGTTTTATTTTATTTATAATTTTCATTATGATTATTATTTTATATTTTAATATTATTTATTTATAAAAAATAATGCCCCTACAGACTTTCTTCCCATAAAGTCGGGGCTTATGGGATACCAGGACTCTCTAACTATGACATATATGGAATATGTGACTGTAGCTTTGTTAAAAAGAAAAAAAGGTTATTTAGAGGTTGGATCGATTTACTATGAATTTCTGTTGCACACAGCAAAGTCCCTATAAAACGTATTTGATGTGATCGGAACGATGTAATGTGAGTCTTCTAGATAAGCATGTAGTGATATGTCCAATATAATTACTCATGAATTTGGGTTGATCAGGAACTCAGTTCCTTAAGGAACATGTGAATTTATAAATAATATTTTTCATTATGAAATAAACAATCTTGCAGGTGAGTTCTTTTTAGCGATAAGGTAAAGCTTTTTTAAAATTTTTATAGAAGATAATTTAATTTTTTCTTGCTCTTGATCGACTGTAATGTGGGGGGCATGTGTGATTTTTATAATGTTTCTAAGAAGAAAATTTTCATCTTGCTGAAATGAAGATTAACGTGTAATTCTGTTTTCATTTTTTAGAAGCTTTATTTTCTTGTCTTTCGAAAGGGTTTTAAGAGAAAATTCATTTCTTTTTTCTTTATTCGTCATTGGCTTTATCTTGTATTCAAAGGGGTTTTAATTTCTTTTTTTCTGATTGCTTTCTTTATGATGATGGCACTGATACTTAAGTAGACCAATTCTTGAATGGAAGAGTCGATGGTATTAACTGCATGGTAATGTTAGTTTAGGACGAGGTTGATTTAATAAAAGTCTTTCTTTTTTTGTCATTTGACTTCTTCCTATTCTCTTATGGTGGCTTCAAAGATTTTGCTTGTGATGGTGATGGAACACCATCAGTTGGTACAGTCTCAAACAATTTAGGCTCAAGTCCAGTGGCTTTCACTGTAGTTTTGAGTTGATCCTTGTATATTTGAAGAGTGAAACCCTGTGGTTTTTTCCCTGAAATGAGCTCAATAAATAAGACTTGACATGCAAAGCATGACTCTTCTATTCTTGCTACATGTCATGAACATTCAAGACATTTTGATACTTTGAATGTTGAATCTTTCCAGGAGTCTATTGTTGGTCAAAAAGCATTCCCCCAATATCATGTTCAGCTAGCAATACAAAAAGGCAGCAACAGAACTATTAGAGTCATATAATATTAATACATTTGACTCAGTTAAAAAAATTGAAAACAAAATTTAATTTAATATTTTTATCATATTTTGACACGACAGCTGTGTAAGATTAAAACTAAAGTAAAATGAATTAATTCATAATTACAGTAAGTTCCTGTTATCATTCAAAAGTTTAATTTAAAAAAAAAACATTTCCAGAATTAAATTTGAGTTATATTTATATTTTTTAAAAGCATCTGGCTTTCATTTAAATTATGTAAAAAATAAACTCATAGTAATTAAAATATTTCCGAATTTTTCAAAGTAATAACTGTTATTTCTCTCACTATATATATATATATATATATATATATATATATATATATATATATGTGTGTGTGTGTGTGTGTATGTTTATATATGTATATATTATTTATCGATATATATATATATATATATATATATATATATATATATATATATATATATATATTTATTATATCTCTTTTAAAAAAATATGATTCTTTTTTAAAAATAAAAAATAATTAGTTTTTTAAAATAAAACAAAAATACTAAAGAACTCCGGATTATTTACCTAACGTGTTCTTTCCTATTTTTCTACATAACTGCACGCACACACACACACACACACACACACACACACACACACACACACACATATATATATATATATATATATATATATATATATACACCTTACTTGCTTCCCCGATGATTATAATCTTCAAATATTCAAGTGTAAGGTCAATCGATATCTGACATCCTGAGTTTGTTCCCCGTCCTTCTCTGTATCTATTCCTTAAACATGCTTCTTTACTCTTGTTCTTAATCCTCTGCAACCCCTTCCGTGCTAGTGGCACTCCCGACTTGCTTGGGGTGAATTGCTTTAAAAAAATTAATTTCTTTTATTTCTGATCGCTTCCTTTCTGATGATGGCACTGGTGATTAAATAGACCAATTCTTGCATGGAAGAACCAATGACAATGATTGCATAATAATGTTGGTGGAGGACAAAGTCAGTTTTGTCAAGTTTTTCTCTCTTTTCCTTTGACTTCTTTTTCTACTCTGGTAGCTTTGAAGTTTTTGGTTCTGTTTATGATGGAAGATCGTCGGTACGACCTTGTGCTTGTGTTTCAAAAGATATAGGCTCAAGTCCAGTGACATTCAGTGTTGCTTTAAATTGGTCCATGTAACTTCGAAGTGGGAACCCGTGGTCTTGAAGTGAGCTCAGTAGATAAGACTTGACGTGGAAACCTTAACTTTTTCATTCTTGCTACATATCATGACCATCGAAAACGGTGTTTTATGATCAGCGATTAGATGCTTTGTTGTCTCTTTCCAGGAATTTCGTGTTGGTCACATCGTAATTCCATTTGTTATTCAAGATTGAACGAAGCTTTTGCTGGTGAAAGCGTTCGAATTTTTGGATATCGTGACGATACAAAGTCCAGGTTGCGCAAACATATACTACATCTACTACACAACTGTTCCCAAAGACTCCAGTGGAGCATCTACATAGCCTTTATTTTCAATATATTCGACTTTAGGTTAGTTATCAGAGCAGATTCGTATCGATTTTGTGAACTTTTTAATATGTTTTTTAGATTAATATAATCTCAATTTATTTGAACTACCGTCCCCATCTCCATTATTATTGAGTATAAATACACCGAATAAATTAAATATATATCAGTTCCATATCTAAAAAGGAAAGACAAAAAGTATACGGGCAATTTTTAAAATACATTATATTTTCAGGAATGTCATAAAAAATGACTTCGCGGAATTATCAGCTGATTAACATGTCCCTTCACGTCAAAACCGTGCAGTTATCAGTTGATTAAAGGACCCTTTAAGGTTAAAACTGATATCCCAGGCCATAGCAAAAATTTGCATCGATTTTTCTACAAGTTTAGAGAAAAGGTGATTGCTATTACCTACCGCAAGGTGTGCTGAGCTGCTATGTTTTGCCATGGTTCAAGGTCAAATGTGTGAATGCAGAGGGGTTCCATCCAACTCCACGGACAAGAAGGTACAGAGGCCGGTCAAATCTAAATTTGATGGACTTCTGGTCCTCTTCCGACCGGTATCTGGACCCAGCGTATTACTCACCCATTAAAATGGAGTTGATACCATTTTTGCAAAATCTTTTCTTTTTATAGACAGCGTGTCCACAACGTTACCTTTTAACGTTGCAAACATAACTTTTATACAAGATTTACTCTAATTCCCGCAGATAATATGATATAAAGAGAGATATTACTTGATGTTTGGGGTGGCTGATATAATATCTCGCCGGAAAGATAATTTTTAATTTAATTTAATTTTTTATTTCCTGGAATGGCTGATGTGATTTCACGCGTTAAATTTTTTTCTGGAATTGATAAACCTCGTGAAAATGTTCTTTTTTCTGCAAGGGATATGGCTGAAATCTTGTGAGAAAATTCTTTTTTTTCTGGAATATGTGACGCTGAATCTCGTAAAATGATTATTTTCTTCTAGAATGGCTGATGTGATATCAAGCGAGAAATTTCTTTTTTTTTTTTTCTGGAGTGGCTGACGAGATATCTTGCGGGAAGCATTTCTATCCCAACTCTTCCAGTCTTTGGTGGTTAAGATAATTTTGTCAAAATTTAAGGGTTTGGCTTTTAAGATCGACTTTTATACGAATCCGTACGATCTTTCTGTGGTTTGGCGAGGATAGTTTTTGTTTTTTTTTTGCCCAAGGGTGGGATGCTGAAAAATTTTCACCCCTATCGAGTAGTGAGACCAAAATAAATTCTGTTGTTTTGAAATATGGTCAGATTTTAGGAATTAAATCAGCCCCAAAAATTTTCACTGGTAGCGCCTATGAAACTTGACAACAAGTTGTTTATTCACCTACTTAAGCACCTGCTCTTCCTCTTCTTGCTTCCTTTTTTTAAAAATTCGTTTATGCATTTTTTATTGTCTTCTTCTTCTTCTTCTTCTTCTTCTTCTTCTTCTTCTTCTTCTTCTTTTGCTGCTGATGGTCCTATTTGATTGAAGTGTCAAGTCAGAGCTTCGGTTGGTATGTTAACAATTTAGTCAGTTTTAATTTTCCCCGACTTAAAGCTATTTCGTATGGGGAAAAATAGGGGCAAACATTCGCTTCTTCATGATCATCCATCATTTAGGGATGTGAATTAGGCTTCGTTTTATTTTAGTGGCCGGAGAGAAAACAACACAGGCGGTTAAAACCCAGCGCTGGAGTTAAATGTTAAAGCGACAATTACATTTAACAAACATACAAAGGCTGGGAATAAATTTGACAACTCTACCGCGAGGCAGGCAATGAATTGATGAATAAAGAACAAGCAAGTGTAGCAGCTAATATTAAAATTTCGACATTTTAGACATTAGTGAACACCTCGCCCTGGGCTAAATGGTTAGCGAGCTGGTCTCGCAGAACATATTTTCTACACTACAGTTATAACACGCCCTATATTAATTAGTTCCAGAGGTCACAACTTAGGTCGAAAAATGACTTAAGTCGAAATGACCACAGCATAAACCGCAAATAAGCACTCCCCATTGCGTGTATTTATGATATGTACGTACAGTATTATGAATAAACTAATTAATTTCCACCTAATCTTTTAACGATATAGCTTTACGCTTAGCATTAGCACTTGCACTGGAACTTTTCTTCGGGGCCATTGGCAAAAATATATTCTAAATCATAACTGAAATGCAATTGAAAGAACGTTAACGGCAGAACACAGATGTAAAGCAATCTGAATTCGAAAATCGGTGTTATACTAATTGTTTTGCGTTTGATGATTCTATGATATATATATATATATATATATATATATATATATATATATATATATTAAGAAATGGACAAAGTCTGACAATTATTTAAAGACATTTTTATGTTTAACATTCTTTTTATAGATAAAATATTTAAGTAAATGCTCTGTTTATAATAAACAGTATTAAACAACATTTACCGGCTTGAATGTTCGAGAAATTTTCATAGAAAATATTTGTCCTCCGACAGGATTCGAACCTGTATCCTATACGGAACCGTCATTTAGCTTGACGTGCCTTTACCGATTAAATTTGACCTTTTTACCCGAGCGCTCCTCCGTGGCCAAATCGGTAAAGGCACGTCAAGCTAAATGACGCTTTCCGTATAGGATACAGGTTCGTATCCTGTCGGAGGACGAATATTTTCTATGAAAATTTCTCGGACATTCAGGCAGGTAAATGTTTAATACTGTTTATTATAAACAGAGCCTTTACTTAAATATTTGTATCTATAAAAGGAATGTTAAACATAAAAATGTCTTAAAATATATATATACTGTAAATAATATTGTTTTAAAATTTATTTGAATATAATTTTATATGTATTTATTGTTATTTTAGTGTTTTGACGTTTCTAATATTTTTAACGACCGACCTAAACTCGAATAAAACGACGTAAGGCGAGTTTTATTTTTCCATATGATATTTAAGAAAAAACCGACGTATCTTCGAAAATGACTTAACTCAAAACGACTTAAGTCGAGGTATCGCTGTATATTCAAGCCACATGGGTAAGATCAGAACTGTTTTGAATAAAGTTCATTCAAGCTTCGTTTGAGCGCCTCTTCAGGGAGCAATAGTTAACCTTTTAGAGTTGATTGTTCCAATAAAATTGTATTTTAACACGATATGTAATTACGTAGAGCATGTAAGTACGTAATGTATTTTAGTATTTCCCCTGTATATTATCGATATAAATATAATAATCAAAATAAATGCTTATATAGTATCAAAAGATTAAAAATATCTTCCACGAGTGGGTTGATTTGGTTTTTTTTTGTTTTTTTTTTACTAGTTATCACAATTTTGCAATTCATTTAAGGCCGGAATTTTTTTTAAGTGTAAGAATTTTTTTGAGATAATGATGATTTTTACGGATACAAGTTCTACTAATTAACCCATAGCTGTTGGGGAGAAGAGGTAGATTTATATACTTTACAAAGGTATTTGCGCGTAAGTGAATATAACGAACCCAACCGGAATTGGATCTTGACTCTCCAATTCTGAGTCGTTATCCATTACACCACCCGCACATCCAAGCTTACAGCACCTGATATTCCCAAGTGGTTATCCATTTAGTTCCTGATATTGTTTGACTTCGGTGAACGTACCAGAACCAGTGTTTCAACGTGATATGGCCGTAAGCCTTCCACAAGTGGAACAACGGATATTAGAAAATTAAGATTCCCACTAGACACGCTGTCTTCAAGGTGAGAGTTATCGATACTGACGTACATACTGACGAGAATAACAAGGTCATATACTGTACGTAGAATATAACAAACCCAACCGGAATTGGATCTCGACTCTCCAATTCCGAGTCGTTTTTCCAAAACACCACCCGCACATCCAAGATTACAGCACCTGGTATTCCCAAATGGTCATCCATCTAGTTACTGACATTGTTTGACTTCGGTGAACGTACGAGAACCGATGTTTCAACATGTTATGGCCGTAAGCCTTCTACAAGTGGAAGAATGAGTTCTAAAAGGTTAAATAAGTTATACTACTGTTCTAGACAATACGTATCACTTATCAGTCAGCTTTAATATACACAGTATGTACCCGAGATATTCCCACAAGGCGGGATGTGACATAAGGCCGGTTTTTAACGTGGTCTATTCCGAGCGCGTACACTCGGGTAAAATTTCCTCGTAGACAATGCTTACACGGGGTCGGGTGGTTGTCCCTAGTTTTTCCCTAGACGTGACTCTGCCTGTAGCTATAGCCACGTCTGAGTTCCTCTATGCCCGAAATCAAAGAGTCCGACAAGTCCAGCTTTGTCATAATCGGTATTTACCCGAGACATCCCCACAAGGCGGGTTGCGGCAGAAGGCCGGTTTTTAACGTGGGGCTATTCCGAGCGCGTACGTTCGGGCAAAACTTCGCTGTAGGACACGCATACACATGGTCAGGTGGCTGTCTACTTTTCCCCAGACGAGACTCTGCTCATAGGCATAGCCTCGTCTGAGTTATTCTCTGTCTGAAGACAGAGATTTCGACGAGCGGAGTATTGGCAAACTCAGAGGTTTGGTTGACTTGGTATTTACCCAAGTCCTCTCCACAAAGCGGGTTGTGGCACAAGGTTGGTTTGTAATGTGAGGCTTTCCGAGTTAATGGGAAGATTTGATCATACCACAGTAAATATGATCCTGATCGGATGACCTCACAGGATGACCCATATTTGTGGCTTTGTGCTGGGTGAAATTAAGCCTTGTTTGAGCGCCTCGATATAGAATAGTTGTTGAGAAAATTAAGCCTTTCCTATTGAATGGAGTTCGAACCTTCGCGAGGAACTTCATTGAATGTCTCATATTTATAGCCCTGTACCACAAAAAGCTAAATCTCATTTAAGTGATAAAGGAAGCGACACTGGCCGTGGCCGGTAATAAAGTACAATTTTGGCTAAGAAAAAGTCATACCGCCACAACTTGGTTTTACGAGTGATATGTTTGGCATAAATGAACACATTGTATCAAATTTTTGAACCACGCTTATTAATGTCAATAATTTCCATGGCAGAAGACGTCAAAATTATTTTTTTTTACTAAATCCAAGTATTGTTGACCCACAACGACACTGAGATCAGAGATTTCCACTATTCGCGCTGTCTTCAGAGCTAAAGTTAGGTGTTAACATTAGGAATTTGGATTAGGGATATTAGGATTAGGGACAGAGTTTAAAAAAAAAGTCTATTAAAGAAAGACGTATAAAAAGTGCCAACATCGTCTTGCTTCTTTTTCCCATGCAATCTGTTTTCCTGTGAGAAAAATTGGGCTGCAACAAATAGGGTGAGACTGGGGAGCTTTGAATCCTGATTATTTTTTTTTATTATTTGGGATCAAACCTTCTACCCCTGGTTTGGTTTATTTTGTTTTACAGTCTATCAAACTCAGTGGGTTATTTAATGTCGACAAGATTTTTTATTGTTGGTAATATATTTTTCAAAAATGTAATATTTTTTCCTAAAAAAATATTTCTGGTATTAAAACCTATTTTTACACTTTCATAGTGTTTTAACCCCAGTTTGGGGGTTAACTATTTACCCATAGCTGGGACCCTAACAGGTGCTCCGGATCAGGGTGATCCTAGGAACACCAGCAATTAAGAGGTGGTTCCACACTCCTCAAAACATCCTGTTGAGAAGCCTTGCTGTCGGATGTAGTTTATCGTCTTACCCAGGACGGTTCTACCACTGGAATCTATTGGAAAGCATAAATAACTCAATATCAAGGCCAGGACTTCTTAATCTTCTTTTTCTTCATTGATATAGCATTTAAAAAAGTTCTCACCTACGTCATATAATAGAAGGAAATGATACTGGCAATTATTAAATTTTAGTATGAAGGAATAAAAACCTGTTGAGGAGAGAAATCACGGTAGGAAGATAGTCTTTAAAAGGTCAGAGGTCAGGAGGCACGGTGGAGTAATGGACAGCGGCTAGGGTTTAGGAATCGGAGAACCGAGTTCCAGTCGAATCTATTTCAATTCACTTACATTCACTTGGGAAAGGTATGAATCCCCCAGCTATGGATAAATAGCAGGACAGACTTAAATGGCAACTGGCCTCCCGTAGAAAGAAATGGCAACCTACTGCTGGAAAAAAAATTTGCCTGGTCAGTCATGTATCGAAAGATACATGATCGCCTAAACGTGTATCACGTATGGCACATAACTGACTGACTGATCAATTTGACTCTATTTATATTATGAATATGACCCCTTATAAATGATAAAAAGTCAATATTTTAAAATTCTAACAAATGACATGTCTGGAGGAAGGTTTGATAAATGCTAATCTATAAAAATGACGCCTCCCACCAAATTCATCCCAATTTTTTACGAGAGGGTCCGCTCAATTTAAGTAGTTCTAAACATTCCAGTGACATTGCAAATCAAGGCGGGTCAATGTCATAAAGACTGCAAGCAATATTTGGGATTTAGCCGCACATCCATTCGAGCGGAAT